ATGGAGGCCATCGCTGCTAGGTTGGAGCTAGGATGGAGGCCATCGCTGCTAGGATGGAGGCCATCGTTTTGGACCTTTTTCTCCTTTGAAATGGATGTCTGAGGTGGTGACTGCCCTGTACCAGTTGGGTCTCTGTCGGCAAAGTGACAAGCGAAGTGGCCACACCTCTGCGCACGAATCCGGGTCCGCCACTTTGGATTTGGTACGTTTGAAGCGGTACCCGGAGAGCAAAGACCAGCAGAGCTGGTCTTCAGGACTTCTTTTAGTTTTGTACTACACCTTGTGCCCTTTGTTTCCTTCTTCTTTCATGTTCTATCTTTTCTAGTTTGTCTTCATTTTTTGAACCTTTCTGTCTTTCTTGTTATCTTTTTGTATACTGCACGGTGGCGAGTTGCGAGATGAGATAAGTGCTCAGGTCATTGACTCGGGCATTAATCGACCGTTTGGTTCACATCCCAGCGGAGGATTTGGCAGCTGATGAGGCCAGCGATGATCCTCACTTGGTGAAGAATGTGGTGAAACTGCAAGGGGTGAGAACGAGTTCTTCTATTGGATCCTGTAGAGGTGTTCTTGTTTGTTCAAAACCTGTTTTGGAAGGACCTCAGATCTTGTAGGTTGGAGGCCATTGCCATTAGGTTGGAGGCGATCGCTAGTAGGTGAGAGGCCATCGCTAGTAGAAGCAAGCTATCAATGAAAGCCAAAAGGGATTAGCCTTCCCAGGCCTCAAATGTTCAATGGGCTTTGGCTGCTCTGGACGAGGCACAGGATCTTCCAGTCAAAGCTTGAGCAAAGCCTCAGATGTCTCAGGTGAAGACTCATCCCCGTGCCCATGGCTATGCCTTTGAATTGGCACACCAAGCCAAAAAGAGGCGATGAAAGATGTTTGACATCACTTATGTTTTACAGCAAGATGTTTTCTCACACTGGCTGCCCTTGACTGAGGTACTCAGAGTTCTCTCCTTCTCAGATGGCCACCTTTGTGGCGGCCCTGTCAAGGCGATGGGGAGCGCAAGGTCAACGGAGCGCTAAGGTCAACACATCATTTAAGGTTTCGCCACAAACGTTGGAGGCCATCGCTCTCTCTCTCTCTCTCTCTTAGGTTGGAGGCCATCGCTCTTAGATTGGAGGCCATCGCTCTTAGGTTGCAGGCCATGGCTCTTAGGTTGGAGGCCATTTCTCTTAGGTTGGAGGCCATGGCTCTTAAATTGGAGGCCATGGCTCTGAGATTGGAGGCCATCGCTCTTAGGTTGGAGGCCATCGCTATTAGGTTGGAGGCCATCGCTCTTAGATCGGAGGCCATGGCTCTTAGGTTGGAGGCCATCGCTACTAGGTTGGAGGCCATCGCTCTGACGTTCGAGGCCATCGCTCTGAGGTTGAAGGCCAAAGATTGGAGGCCATCGCTCTTAGGTTGGAGGCCATCGCTCTTAGGTTGGAGGCCATCGCTATTAGGCGGGACGCCATTGCTACTATGTTAGAAGCCATTGATATTAGGTTGGAGGCCTTCGCTAGCAGGTTAGAGGCCATTGATATTAGGTTGGAGGCTATGGATTGTAGGTTGCGATGCTGAAGAGGGTTAACTTGCTCAACATTATGTGGTGACCTGAGTGAAACTTGTCAGGCTGGTCCAACAACCATCAGACGACGATCTCGTTTGCCAGGCCCTGCGACACACGCTCCCTGAGGAGGCTAAATTTAAGTTAAAAAATGCACGAATTGGCATCAACTCCAGAAACTGTTGTTGTTGTTGTTGTTGTTGTTGTTTTAACCTTGACCTTTAGAACCTTGGAACTTTGCTTTTGCTTTTAGCCAGCGGAATTGCCCTCAATGCTCCATTCACTTGCCTTGCTCAGATCGTGACGCAGTTCTCGGAGTACTCTTCAGGAAATGGCAGCTTCCCTCGCTTTCCGCCAGAGGAGCAGAGATTCTAGACGAGGAAAGAGATGGAAAGAGGAAGGATGTTCGAGTAGCATGTGATCACGAAGAAGGAAAAAGAGATGAACAACAAGACGAAAAGCGGGCTTTCTTTATCAATTTACATCTTGGCCTCGAATAGTCCTCAACTATCACTACTCAACAAGGCCTTGGAATAACTGTATGCTGTTCATTGAATTAGTTTTAATGGGTTCTTTCAGGAGCTAAAGACTTGGACCAATTTTCTACAGGAGGCACGTCTTCTTGTTTTTTTTTTTAATATGTTTTTCTGGTTGTAGGGATGTTGATGCCGTGACTGCTGACCACACAGAAGTAACAACATTTCTTTGATTATTCTTCTATCCTTCCTTTCATTCTTCATTCTGTCATTTCCTTTAGACCTTTAGGATTCCGTCAGGCCATTTTCCTCTTTGCTGGTCTAGTTGTTTCAGTCCGAATGCGACAGAGTTGGTTTGCAGAGCCGTTTGTTCAAATGGAGTGTGTGCTTGCCCACTCAGCACACATACACTTTGGTGTGTGCCGTGTGCATGACCAGCGAGCTTTCTGATTACATCGTTTCCGGAGCTGTCTAGTTGTACCAGGCCTCTCAGCCATCGAAGTCAAATACAATGCCCCTGCCACATGGGCAACAACAGGCTTGCTTCTGAGGGCGACAGAGTAGAAAGTCGTGATGAGATCTAGCGCCTGAGAAGGAGATACAGTACCCAACTAGTAGCTTCTTGCTACTAGTAGCGATGCACTTGTTACTAGTAGCGATGCACTTGGTACTAGTAGCGATGCCCTAAGCTACTAGTAGCTTCTTGCTACTAGGGGGAGCGGGCAAAAAAGGGAAAACAGAAAAAAGCGAAGATCAACAATAACATATGATTGTTACTAGTAGCGATGCACTTAGCTACTAGTAGCTTCTTGCTACTAGTATTCTATGTAACTCTGCTCACTTCAGTGAGCAACATCGTAGCACCGATTTTTAGTGCAACTAGGCAATGATGCCGCAGAACATGGGAGGAATGCGACCTCAGGTGCCACTTCTTTTTCGAAAAGACATGTGTCGGTTTTCATGTTTCACAACGTAGTCTGTGGCAGGGTGGAATGGGCGCCATGAATCCAGGTGCGCTTGGTTTTGACAGTGACTGGAGCCGCCAAGCCTTGCAAGCAAGCCCCTAGTAGCGTCCTTGTTCCTAGTAGTACGGCCAGGAGCCCCTAGTAGCTTCTTGCTACGAGTAGTAAGGATGTTCCTAGTAGCGATGCCAGGAGCCCCTAGTAGCGTCCTTGCAAGCGAGGCATGGCGAATATGGGCATGGGCTATGGCAACCAGGGCTGCGGCGGTTGCTGTGGCGGCTGCGGTGGCTGCGGCTGCGGTGGCTGTGGTGGCTGTGGTGGCTGTGGTGGCTGTGGTGGCTGTGGTGGCTGCGGCTACGGTATGAGCGGCTGTGGACTCTCAGTTGCAACTGCAACCAGTGTGTTTGTGCACGTGTGTTTTTTCGATCTTGTGTGCAGTGCTGACACATTTTTCGTGATGCTGCAGATGGTGATAAGACGTTCTTTCACGTTCAGGACCAAATATGCAGCAACAGCAACAGTTGCAACAACAGCAGCAGCAGCAGCAGCAGCAGCAGATGCAGCAGCTGCAGATGCAGCAACGCATGAACCAGATGCAGCAGTACCAGAGGCCTGGGACACAGCAGATTTCTTTTTGCCAAACGATATACAAAAGGAGGTAGGTTGGAGGCCATCGCTAGATGGAGCGCTTGGAGACTACAGAACCCTATACTGAAAATGTCTAAAGGTCAGAAAAGAACCGATGTAAAAACAAGTGCCTCGCTAGTAGTAACAGGTGCATCGCTGGTAGTAACAGGTGCCTTACTAGTAGTAACAATGTTTGCTAGTAGAAACAATTTAACATTAAATTAGACTTAAATAAATTAGAAATGAACATGATAGCTTTTAACCTAGCGATGGCCTCCAACCCAAGAGGTGCTGCTCCTCTCTTTGCCGACACAAAAGGTGCTCCTCTGTGACATGAGGCCTGCCTACTCCGGTCCAATGGCCCAGGCCCTGCGAGTTCATTGAAGGTAATAGCTTCTTGTTACTACTAGTAAGGCACCTGTTACTACTAGCGAGGCACTTGTTACTACTAGTAGGGCTCATGCAAATGTAGGTCGTGCTTCTTGTGTTTCTTGCGATCCGGGTCGCTTCAGGCTGGAAAGGGTATGAAGGGCAATATGCAGGGCAACATGCAAGGCATGGCGATGCCCCAAGATATGCCAGGCAGGTTGCCTTTGGTTCGCTTCAGAGATTACTTGGAATGGTGTCAGAGGCTGAATTTGTTTGATCTAACAGGCAAAGGTGGAAAAGGAGATGGGCGGAGCCCTCAAAGCTCAATACAAGATGGAGGTCATGATGTCCAAATACAACTCGACTCGTTGTTGTAGCGTTTGCAACCGTCCGCAACAACCGTTCGCAACCGTCTGCAGGTGGAGCGATATGGCGCTTACATTGGGCGAAGCTTTTGGAGAGGGTTTTGGACGGAAGCATGACGTATCAGATTCGTGTGAAATAGAGAGGAAACGTGTGGAAACGTGAGAGGATGAAGTATGGAGGATGAAGAGTGTCTTACCAGGGACCAGGGTGTCCCACAAGAGTATCCTATAGAAGTGTCCTACAAGAGTGTCCCACAAGAGTGGCATACAAGAGTGGGCCACAAGAGTGTCCCGCAAGAGCGTCCCACAAGAGTGTTCTACAAGAGAGTGTCGAAAGTTGTTTGAGCGCTTGTTTTCGAGCTCGTGTTTGCAGTCGAGTTCGTGGGGTCCACCTTATCTCGCAAACTTAGGGGGAAGCCAGGTTCGAGCCCAAGAGAACTGGAGACCACTAGCCGCCCCAGATTGTTTGACTCCTGGCTGTGTCAGGTTACAACATGGGCCCTTCAATGGGGAAGGGAGGAATGTGTGGCAAAGGCGCAGCCGGGGAAGATCTTGGAGAAGATTCCAAAAGATAGATTGATGAACCAATGGTTGGAAGATAGAGGAAGGATGCTGCCGGATTGATGTCACGAATCACATTTTTCCTCTCGTAACTACGTGACCCCAGGCGCACCAGATGCTGGTGGTGGTTCCTTGCTCAGCAGCTCCTAGCTTAGCTCTAGGTCTACACACATGCCAGTAAAGCAAAGAAAGGAAGAGAAACGGGAAGGGCAGAAGGTATCATCATGCGAACCGAGCTCTTCAGCGCATAGTCTCCAGTATAGTAGCTACTTGGTAGCTACAACAGTACCTTTTCACGGCTTACTTCTCCTATCCTTACTACTAGTAAGAATGCTCCTAGTAGCGATGCCAGGAACCCCTAGTAGCGTCCTTGCTCCTAGTAGTAAGGCCAGGAACCCCTAGTAGCTTCTTGTTACTCCTTAAGTTTCCTCCAAAATCTAGGAACCAAATCATTGGTGCGAATGCTTCTTCAAATATTCTGCCCCTCCGCCGCGCAAAGGCAGCTTCCTTGAAGAAGCGTGAACTATCCTGCGTCCTAAGTAGTAGCATAAGTAAGGTAGTAGCTACCTCTCCCTTACTTAATTAAGTAGGCAGGGGGGGAGCCGGCCAAAAAAACAATCGAGTCAAACCAAAAGCTGCCGAGGCGGGAACTTGAAAGCTGGATTGCCAGGCGGGTCTTTTCCATCACAGTTCATCAAACGACGAAACGAGAAGAAATTAGTCGGTTCACATTTTGTAATTAATTACCCAGGAGGTTCAGTGCTGTAGTATTTGTCAACTACAGTATCCTGGCATTCTAAACGCACTTATACACAGTTGCTTCAGCCCTGAAGGCATGATGGCCTCTTCCAAAGGCAGATTGCCGACTTGTTTTGTTATGAATCATTATAGTTGGATGGGTCCATCCTGTCAGCATTACTTGAATATTTTTTATGCAGGTAAGGGCCATGACGAAGGCTGGAGTTTTGATCGCCAAATGGGGAGGGAATTCTCCAGACATGTATTCCCGCACTCTCTAAGCCTTCTATTGAGTATGATACCAACGATCACGTGGTTTCTATGTGTTTGGGCAGTTGTCACCCAGTGAGTCTCTGTAGGTGTGGTAGGTGCAATTGAACATGAGTTGCATCAGGTGCTTCTTTGCATGTTTCCTTCCCTCATTTTTCATCCGACTCTTGCACATGTATTGCACTTGTTTACTTGCTGCCGATGCTGCGGCTATTGGATTCAATGCTATCATCAGCAAGTCTAGCTGCACGCAGCAAATCGTTTTTGCTTGCTACTTTCAGTTTTCAGCTTTGTAGAGTGTATACCTACCCTGAATGCAGTGCTACGCATGACCTACAGTACATATCACGGCCGCACACCAATCTACATACTATGCAGATTGTTGTTGTGCTCGTTGCCAAGAAAGGCTTGATATTGTTAGAGGGACTAAATAAAACATGCGGACTTCAACAAACTATGCAATTGGATCCAATTGGGAACCTTCTCCAGTCAAGTCTGCCCATATCGCAAGCTGCATAGTTGTCTCTGAGCAGATCGATATCAAATCATGCCAGCTTCGAGACTGAGCAATAGCTCATAAAGTGCGTGTCATCTCCAGAACTCTTCACAAAGAGTTTTTGATGCCAATAATTTTGCGCTACAGTATGGAGGTAACATAGAACTTGTGGTACCTCCCACCTGTGCGAGCAGCACGGTTTGCCCCAATCGAACACACCAAGCTTACCAGCTCTCGGCAGAGATTCTTCCTTTTCGTGCGGGCAGCGCAGGAAAAGGAAAGGGAGGAAGCAAAGGGAAGAGCGGCAAAGACAAGGTGCAGCTGACTTGACTTCCAGCTGTGCAACCGACTTTCGATTCCAGGGCAAGGGCAAAGGAAAGGACAAGGATGGTGGAGGCATGCAATGCCTTATCCCACTTTCTTGTGATATTGCTGTTTGAACGAGAAACCTTTAGTTCAATCTCTCTCGAAAACAAGAAGGAGGCTACCAAAAAACCTTTGGGTCTTGGCTTGTACAACCCCTTCCTGCTACCAAAAGTGTGCTTTCTTTGAACTACTGTCAAATCTTCAGCTTGTTTATTTGTATTTCGCTGACATCTTTTGCAGAATAATTCTCCTGTAAGGCAAATCTATGAGCTAGCCATAGCAGGCCTCTGAGAGATGGTGATGAAACCCAGCGGGAACGCCTTCGAGTAGGAGGCCATCGCAAGTAGGTTAAAGGCCATCGCTACTAGGTTGGAGGCCATTGCTACTCGGTTGGAGGCCATGGCTACCAGGTTGGAGGCCATCGCTAGTAGGTTTCCTTCTTTGTTTTCTTTGTATTCCTCTTCGCTTTCGAGTTTAGACCATGAGGCCACTGTGCCACAGCACCACTGACAGCCTTACCCGAGGTGCTGTTGATATTCTGCAAATAGTAGACTTTAGTAGACCAGTGATTTCAGTGTTCATAGCGCACTTGTTACTACTAGCGTGGCACTTGTTTCTACTAGCTTCTTGTTACTACTATATAGTAAGGCACTTGTTACTACTAGCGTGGCACTTGTTTCTACTGACTTTAGTAGACCAGTGATTTCAGTGTTCATAGCTGCTGATGGTCCGCACTTGCAAGTACTTCTGGCAAGTACAGGCTTGTGCACATGCGGAAGGAAGAAGGTGCAGGACTTAATCATGGTGCATCGAAGACAACAAATTAGGGTGGAGGCCATTACTACTAGTAACAAGAAGCTACTAGGGGCTCCTGGCCTTACTACTAGTAACAAGAAGCTACTAGGGGCTCCTGGCATCGCTACTAGTAACAAGAAGCTACTAGGGCTCTTGGCCTTGCTACTAGGGGCTCCTGGCATCGCTACTAGTAACAAGAAGCTACTAGGGGCTCCTGTCCTTACTACTAGGAGCAAGGACGCTACTAGGGGCTCCTGGCATCGCTACTAGTAACAAGAAGCTACTAGTAGCTCTTGGCATTTCTACTAGTAGATTTTGGACTCTGATTCCATTTGCATCCAGTTGCAGGCATCTCTGGTTTCGCCTTCCAGCCCGTTTCACGTGGAGAAAACCACATGGATCGCATAGCTCAACGAAAAACCGCGTGCAGCGGCTCTGGGTCTTACAGGAATTCCAGCAACACATGTTATTTTTGTTGGAAGTTGGAAGACACAACACAAGCAAGCCACTATTTTAATCTAATTTACAGGTTCTTCTTATTGTCTATCATGATCATAACGAGCAAAAATACACCTTGTGGAGTTGGCGATGCCACTGACAGACGTCTCAAGGATTTGGGGGTAGGGGGGACCGTGGATTGGTAGAGGCCGCCGAGGCCTGCTCCTGAGGACGGGAGCGACGTGAAACGACATAAACGGTGAACGACGCAGGTTGGATGCCACCGCTCGTAGGTTGGAGGCAATCGCTACTAGGTTGGAGGCCATCACTAGAATCACTAGTAGGTTGGAGGCCATCGCTACTACCTTGGAGGCCATTGCTATTAGGTCTATTAGGTTAGAGGCCATTGCTATTACGTTAGGTTGAAGGCCATTGCGAGTACATTGGAAGCCATCGCTATTAGGTTGCAGGCCATCGCTGTTTGGTTGGAGGCCATCGTGAGTACGTTGGAGGCCATCGCTATTAGGTTGGAGGCCATCGCTGTTAGGTTGGAGGCCATCGCTATTAGGTTGGAGGCCATCGTGAGTACGTTGG